TTGGGGGTAGCGCGGCCCTTTCCAAGGGGTCGCCTTAGACTATCTGGAAACACATATTCTTACAGCTATGAAGTAGCAACGAAAATAATTAGGTTGCTGGGGGGGTCGCCAAGACACGAAAAACTGTATAAAAGGGTCGTGGCACTAGGAAGGTTGAGAACCATTGCAATAGTCTTGCGTTTAGCAATCGGTCTGTTAGCGTATTGTTTTCGTGTGTGATCACCAGTTTTTACAAATTTTGTATTTAGACAGTATTCGTAATTTTTTTATGTGCAAAGTGTAATTAATAACCTTGGCTAAAATGTCTTCGGAAAAAAAAACAACACAAGAAGACAATCATAAAAGAGAAAAAATAACTGTTGACATTAAACGTAAAATCATTGAAAACCGAGAACAAGGTGTGAGCGTGGCTATTCGTGCTACACATTTATTCAATGATAATGCTGTGACACATTTTCGTCAAATTTTGAAGCGTCGGCAAAAACAGATGTCTTCAGACAGTTTTCTAGTTATTAAAAAGGATTAATTATTTGTCATAAATTCATATTTTTTATTTAAGTTTTTTGTTTCAAATCTAAATTGTATTCCAAGTTGTTACACTCCTTAACAATTCATAAGTAATTTTATTTGAATAAATATTAATACATTTTTTTGAAAAATTAGTCTCTTTTCAGCATGGAACGCATATATCGTATTTTACATTGATTGTATGGGAAAAATTGTTTCGTTTAACCAGTGTTTCGCTTAACGAGTAAGAGTCTGGAACGAATTAAACTCGTCATGAGAACTTCCACTGTAGTGTGTTTTACACTCCCAAGGAATGACAGTGTTGTTACCGGAAACTGTTTCCAGTGAAAATAAAATAAAGCAAAGAAAAAAAAAAAGGCACTTGCGTGCTCAAAACGAACACTCTTCATACACGAATCATGCTTTGAACTATCAATAGTACAACTTTATAGAGTGTATATGGCGTTGATAATGTATAAAGTGTAACCACCTTATTATTCACAAGGGGCTGATGAGTTCAGGTTTGCAAAGTTAATAGGCCACAAACATAGGACAATCAATCTTTTCTTTCTTTTTTAACTTCAATGTTCCCTTGGAGCCATGTTATTGTCATGGATGGTTAAATGCAAACGAAAATTGAGAAGCTTTTCCTCATCATTATCTTTGATATTCTAAAGGATGGAACGAAATGATAAGAAATCTGATAGTGTGATGTCATTATTATTGGCCACGATAATGATAATGTGCGCTCGTCCCCCCCCCCCCACTCTCTCAACCCGTCCACAAAACCAAAACCAAAATACGAATTAGAACTAAACAAAATATAATAGTATCTTTAAAATATGAACATTAAACTGAAATATGAGTACAAATTGTGATAGATGAATAAAGACCTACATATGTCAAGAGTTTTTTGTAGTTGTTTTTTTGTTTCCTTGTTATAGTTACAAGTAAGCTACAATAAATGTTGAACGTTATTATAGCCTATTAATTGAGATATTTTGGTCGGCTCGTAAATGACAATTACAATATAAATATCATGGCGTCCTTGTACTACGCTTGAATTAGGAATTGAAACAATGCCCTGGTGTGCCGTTGTGGAAAAAAAACAACAACATTTTGTCTGTTTAAACATAGAATTCTGACTTCCGAAAGTGATGTGTCATCACCATGGTAACAACCGAGATAATGAGCGGAAGTGAAGGGACCGGATGTAGGATGTGAGCGAGAAACTTGCGAAAGAAATGGCAAAGTCTTCGTGGCAGTTTATAAGACTAAATACACAGTGCCATATGAGGACCTGGGGAGCCCCCTGTGACCAGTAGAAATCACCCACCCGCACCCAACCCCGTACCAAATTAAATATGTATTCGTCAAGACTGAGCTTTGGTCAAATCTTTGCCACATATCACGACTGACCAATTCAAAAAAAAAAAAAAGTATTTTTTATTTCACATTTTATGCGGCTTCAGATGTGTTGCCAATGCAGATCGTGACATTTCTTGTATAATTTCTCTTTATTTCTTCGTTATCAACAGACGACAGTCAATCAAAACGGTCCCCCATTTTATGATTAAGAAAAATATGCCGTTCGCATTTGTCCCTTAATTATTTTCTGTACGGCCCCCTAATTCTATAACGTGTTAAGTAAGGAAATGGCCGAGAAGCTCAGACGTCCATCCAATCATTAGATCTGGTTCATGAAAGCTACTTACACTAGGTCAAACCAAGCCCCGGAAAATCAAACAAAGAGAATAATAATAATTTTAAAAAAATAAAAATCAATTTTTAAAAATTAAAAAAAAATATTTACTTGTAACAAATGTATGCATTGATGCGAGGTCCCTAGGCACGTGTCTCATTTACCATTAAACCAATTTTTATATATTTATGTATGTATGTAAATATATATATATATNTATTTTATATATATATATATATATATATATATATATAATTATACATACATATATATAGTATTGTTAACAAACAATATGTACTATGACAGCAACAAGTGATATGTTCAGATTATGTGAATGCGGTTGAATTGTTTAGATACTTTCGGTTCAATTAAGAACCTCCGCCCGAGAAAGATCATAATGTTGGGGATAATTATTAGTGTGCACATTAAAAAAATAATAATAAAAAAATCAGTTGGTTATTTGAATTGATGCGTTATGTGAAGACGCACATATGTGCATAGTGCAGTCAAAGGAATGATAGAACCAACATTGATAATATATGCTGAGTCAGTCTTTTTTTTTAATGTTCTTTGGTCGGTTTTTTGCCGCAATGAAGCTTTTCCAGAATGCAGTGATTCTCAAGCTGGTATCACGGAGTTACGGAACTGTATTTGTCAAGTCATCGTTGAACTGATATTGTACTGATTGATTGAGTACTTTTTTTAGCGTTTGTGTCCATGATATTTTAGCACGGATACAGCGCTCTGATGTCTTATTATTAAAATCTATTTAAAGAAAAGCGTCTTTAAATGGTTGTTAAATTCATTCTTTATATCTACAATTGAGTACCCTGTCATCACTTATATTTGAGCAATTGTTTGAGACTTTTAACTAGCAAATGGTTTTATGTAAACATTTTGTTGCTTTTTTGTGTGTGCGTCTGTTAAAATAACATTTGTGAGAAAATGTTGACTGAATTTTCTTGATAATAAGTTATCATCTGAAATTTAAAGCAGGGGTGGACAGGCCCACTGTGGGAACTGGCCGACTGGGCGGACCGGCCGACTAGGTGGACTGGCCGAGTGGGTGGACTGGCCCACTAGAGGACTGAGCCGTCGGGACAATGGGAAAAATCTGTGCGGTCCGGTTATAGAGTGGCCGCCAAGCCGTTGACAGAGTGGTCGCCAGAGCCGATGATAGAGTGGCCGCCAGGGCGGTGATAGAGTGGCCGCCAGGGCCGGTGATAGAGTGGCTGCCAGGGCAGGTGATAGAGTGGCCGCCAGGGCCGCTGATAGAGTGGCCACCAGGGCCTGTGATAGAGTGGCCGCCAGGGCCGATGATAGAGTGGCCGCCAGGGCCTGTGATATACTGATCGCAAAGGACAGTGATATAGTGGCCGCCTGGGTCACTTTCACATTTTAATAAGAAATTTCGTATCGAATATGCCTCCAAAATTAGTTTGCTTAGACGCACTTGAGCTTCCAGTGACCATAAGAAAATTACTTCACTTATGGTAAGAAATATAGTTTATATCTAAATTGCTGGTCCTTATTAGAGGGTTTCATGTTAGCAAGGTAAGTTCTTATAATAATATCAATGAAATGATTAAAAAGCAAACTCCAAATGCCAATGAAAGAATTATGGAAATGATACATGACCAAAAATAGTTGTGAAGTTTGTTTTTTTCCATTCTGTAATTTAAAAGAAATTTAAACAGCTCAAAATTTAATAAATAAATTTTAAAAAATGGAACATTCCTGTCCGATGGAGGGATGGATCCCCCCCTCCCACCCCCCCTAGCCCCAGCCCCATCTCCTCTTTTTTAAAGTCACCAAATCCTTCACTTGTAAAAGTTTAGAAGGCGATAATACATTTTGGAACATATTTTTTTTTTTACATCTCCTCTTTTTTAAAGTCACCAAATCCTTCACTTGTAAAAGTTTAGAAGGCGATAATACATTTTGGAACATATTTTTTTTTTTTTTTTTGAAGTGGGTCACCCATTGAAAACAAAAGAATATCATGTGGAAAACTAAGGCCAGTAATTGAAGGCAGTTAAGCCAGACGGAGAACGCGAAGCAGACAATAAGTCTTAGTGTCAATGAACGTTGAAACGCTGAACTAGAAAAAAGAAAAGTCGCGTGTCGTGACCAAAACAACGTGTCATAATCAGTGTGACACGTCTGGCTCTACAAGTCATGGGCTACAACAGTGGTTCTCATCCTTCCCAATGACGTGACCCTTTAAGACAGCTCCTCGTGTTGTGGTGACCACCAACTCATAAAATTATTTTCTTTACTACTTCACAAAAATGCGTTTCCCGATGATGTTATGCGATACCTGTGTTAAGGGTCGTTCGACCCACAAAGGGGTCTTAGCCAATAGGTTGAGAACCGCTTTTCTAAAATGAAAGAAATATATTATTTTTTTAAATTATTTTTTTTCAGAGGATGGAGAGAGCTCACTTACTATTATGTGCTAAACAGACCACAAATCTGTCCACTTACTATTATGTGCTAAACAGACCACAAATCTGTCCACTTACTATTATGTGCTAAACAGACCACAAATCTGTCCACTTACTATTATGTGCTAAAGAGACCACAGATATGTCCACTTACTATCATGTGCTAAACAGACCACAAATCTGTCCGCTTACTATTATGTGCTAAACAGACAACACATCCTGTCCACTTACTATTATGTGCTTAACAGACCACATATATGTTCACTTACTATCATGTGCTAAACAGACAACATGTATGTTCACTTAATATTATGTGCTAAACAGACAAACAATATGTCCACTTACTATCGTTTCGTTACTGCCACAAGAACTGTAAACTCACTGGCTTTAGTTGCTTTTATTGACCTGAAACAAAATTGGTTCTAATTACAAGAGATCTTTACAAAAATGGCTTTAAAAGTTAAACAGCCGCTAAAAACTAAGTTTTTCGTCTAAATACTTCAAAGGCATTTTTTTCAAAATTTTAGTTTACATTAATTATTATAATGTCCCGCCCGTTTTTTTTACACCGGAGATTTATTTCAACAACTACTGCAGAAGAAAACAAATAGAAGAAAATATTATTACGCATCAGACGCACGTGCGATACATTTTTAAAAATAAACTCATTTAGGGCATTTATCATATTTCCTTCATCTGCCAGTTAAACATTAGGGAGAACCGCTTTTTGGGGGCTTGGTTTGGCAACGAGTCTATGTGCTAAGTGTCAGCTCGATAGGTTGACAGGAAGTGGGTCAACAATTAGCCGTACAAAGATTTTTCCCTAAACATTGAAAAGCGAAGTCAATATAAAGGATTTAAAAATGAATTTTATATACATATATACACATATATATATATATATATATATATATATATATATATATATNGTTTTCATTCGTTAAGGGTGTTGATATTTGCTTTACCAATGTAAATTGCAGTATAATTTAATACTTTTATTGTGCAAAAAGGAGTTCTGAGTAAGCTTTCCCACGTACCTCAAGATTTAGATATGAAAAATGATAATTCCCAAGTAGTAACAATAAATAGCTGCATTATTTTCAGTATTTCAGTACTAGGTAAAAGAAATACATTCTTTGGATAATTTTTTCTCCCCGTCCGTTTTAATTAAATTTCGTAATTCGGTCGAGCATAACATTGAGGCCCAAATTCTTCTCATCCACGTCCAGGAATAAGTATAGAATATGTTACCGGCTGAGGCAGCGCTCTGCATTTTGGCCAGGTGTCGTGTGCCATTCCAATAGAACTGTATTCTGACACCACAGGTGTGCCATATCTATTATTTGCTTGCCAGGTTTCCTCTAATAACTTAGCCCGACCCCCACCCTTTTTCCTTTTTTCCCCACCTACCCACCCCCCTCACTGCCACTCTGTGCTTATAATGATATGATGTAATCTCAGCATGCTCATTAGTGCTACTAGCATTTCGGCCTGAGCAAATAGTGCTGCGGGAAGAGCTGCTTGGCACTGCTCGTTGCAGCCACACGTGTACACGTCATCGACGTGTGACGTCAGAATGGTTTTCGACCCGGGCGTGAATTTCGGGGACTTGAAACCACCGGCGAGCTTTGCTTGGTTCACCACGGATGTCAAATCACAATGAGCAGCAGTGATAATGGTACACCTATTAAACTCCGCAATACAACCAGAGAAACTCTAAACAAACAAATGTTTACTGTAGAGCAGTGGTTCTCAACCTTGCTAATGCCGCGGACCCTTTAAAACAGTTCCTCAAATTGTGGTGCCTCCCAACCATGAAATTATTTTAGTTGTTACTTCATAAATATGTGTTTCCCCCCCCTCCCACCCCCCAAAGTGGTTGCGACCCATATGTTGAGAACTCCCGCTGCAGATGATCGCAAAAGAATGGTACATTTTAGGCAACTGGCTGCCGAGAGAGCATGCAATAATGTGTGTGTGTTTTTGTGCAGCCTTAAAGCTCAGTGGTAGCTCAGTTTAACCTACGTGCTTCTGAAAACTATCGCCGACATTCTAGAGCTGTATCAGCAGAAATAGTTTGATCTAAATTACCATATCATTTAAATGCCAACCGCTTCCATTGTACGCAATTAATATAGCAAGTAGGTTTAAATTGAAAGTGATTCTTATTTTTTCCACCACAATTTTAATTAATCAAGTCAACATCGTAGCTTACATTTCTACATTTCAGCTCAATATTCAAGCTCAATAATCTCGATTAATAAATATAGTTAATCCATTTATCCGAATAATTCCACAAAAAAAAAAAACATTTATATTATTTCAGTAGGTTAAAAAACAACAACTTAGAAGAACTTAAGAGAACTTAAAAGAACCAATTAGTGCTCAATCCTGAAATAAAGGTCCAGAAATTTTACTTTTAACTCCTTTACTACCTGCACAGAGCCGAATGTTAACCCCTTTCCTACCTGCACTGAGCCTAATGTTAACCCCTTTCCTACCTGCACAGAGCCTAATGTTAACCCCTTTCCTACCTGCACAGAGCCTAATGTTAACCCCTTTCCTACCTGCACAGAGCATAATGTTAACCCCTTTCCTATCTGCACATAGCCTAATGTTAACCCCTTTCGTACCTGCACAGGGCCTAATGTTAATCCCTTACCAACATGCATAGAGCCTTATGTTAACCCCTTTCCTACCTGCACAGGGCCTACTGTTAACCCCTTACCAACATGCATAGAGCCTAATATTAACCCCTTTCCTACATGCACAGAGCCTACTGTTAACCCCTTTCCTACCTGCACAGGGCCCCACGGTTAACCCCTTCCTACCTGCACAGAGCCTCGGCGTCGAAGCAGTTGTGATTGGCGCTGCGGGCGTCAATGATGACGACGTCATACTGGTATTTGAGGTAGGTCTCCAGGGCGTTCTCCGGGGTGCCCGCTATCGTACAGCGATATCCGAGCTTCTCTGCCGCCCACCAGAACCCGTCGGACTGGCCGTCCTCTTTGCCGAACACCAGGAGCACCTGGGGGAGTCGGGAAGGTAACAAGATTGCCGGGTTTTGTTTAAGGGTATCAACAATTAGGGAAATGGAGATCAAGCGGAAGTTTAAGAAGAGTCACGGGGAGAAATGTTAAGCAAATAGATTAAGGGATCATGACGGATGGTGGGTGGGTGGAACGGTAGACGGGGGGACGTTGGGTCAAGTGTTGCCAGTTCCTCTTCGCCATGTGGAATGGTGGATGTTAAGAGTGGATTGATGCATGGGCTGTATGCAGTGGCGCGCCCATGGTCGGAGCGAAGTTGGCAACCACCCTGGGCGGCACTTTTTGGAGATTTTTATATGACATTAAATAAATAATGTGTGTATTTCAAGGGAGCAATTTTAAGAGTGTAGCTACCGAGTAGCATATAGTAAAGGTACACCTGTGGGAGCATGTCAATTAATTAAAGTGTGCTGAGGTCATGGGAAGATAAGCGATGTTAGAGCGAGACGTATGTAAAAGACTGAGAGATTGATTAGATTCGAGACTAAATGAATGATTGTGTGAAAGGGGCAGGGAAGGGCGAAAAAAGAAAGTGGGGTCAGTGAAGGAAACGTGATAGAAATAAAATAAGAGAAATCTCGCATTAGAAAAAACGATGACTAATATGTATAAGAAAATAGAGGAATAAATAAAATAACAAAGATAAACAAGGGATATACAGAAGATGGCAGTGACACACATATTTTTATATTCATACGGTAGTTAATGGACACATATTTTGTTATATATAAGGTGGCAGAGAGAGATACTCATTTTGAAATACAGAAGGTGGTAGAGAGGGACACTCATTTTGATATTTTGTCTGAACACATTTGCAACGTCAACCAATGATCAATTTGTGATGACGTGTAGATGCAAGAAATTGAACTGTCGACCAATGATAAATTTGTGATCACATGTAGAGGCAAGAAATTGAACTGTCGACCAATGATCAATTTGTGATCACATGTAGAGGCAAGAAATTGAACTGTCGACCAATGATCAATTTGTGATCACATGTAGAGGAAAGAAATTGAACTGTCGACCAATGATACATTTGTGATCACATGCAGAGGCAAGAAATTGAACTGTCGACCAATGATCAATTTCTGATCACATGTAGAGGCAAGAAATTGAACTGTCGACCAATGTCAAGATTTGATTACGTGTTAAGGCCAGAAATATTGAGCAATCGGAAGAGCATTTTTGGACAAGATAAACTTCAGCAATTTTTTATATTGATTATTCATTCCCAATTACACAAGCGCTATTTCTACAATAATTTTAGTCTATCTTTCACATCGGTATTTAAAATTATTATTATTTTTTTTTTACCAGCGTTTATAAGATTATAGGTTTCCTTCACTGACAACTTATTAGGGTTTCTGTCCTAAACGTTAAAGTAGATTACCTAAACTTTATGGGTGCCAGGAATCATGTCCATAGTAGGCTTTCCACCCCCCCCCCCTTCCCCGCGTGTTCACGATACATAAATTACGCTTTGAGCCAGACGGCCATATTCATAACTTGGGCGTCCATCACACGAAAATATAAGCGCATGGGTGGAAGCAATATCTTTTACACATCCATTCACTGGAATACTGTCCAGGCACCCGTTGCGGAATCAGAAATAAAAGGACGGGAAGCGGGGTGGGGGGGGGGGG